TACTAGGATCTGCTTTACGTAACAGTTCGAAAATAACACTTTGACATTTTGCATAGTTAGAGACTGATACAAACAGTTTCATGTTCTCAAGTTTCGCGATCATGCGTTTCGTAACAAAATAACAATATAGATCAAAGTAAGATAAGTATTTTAAAAATTCATCTGATCACAAAAATTAAATAAAAATCCAATCAAAATTATTTTGAAACATTTCACTAGAGATAAATCTTGACTTTTCTGCGATATCACGTAAGTTTTCTTAGCGAAAAATCGTATTTGTGTGAGAATCGTTATATGATGTTTATTAATCACAATATTGATGACAAAAAAATAAATAAATAAATAAAACTATGTAATTTCTATCCGGCAGCATTTTGGAGAATCGATTAGAAAGATCCGTGACACCTAAACGGATTACATATAGATTTGTTTCCGCCAATTAGTTAGGAAAAGCATGTTGACAGGTGTCTTTATGATTTGCCGATGTCCGAAAAGAACCACATTTCTCGTTCGGCATGCCAAGTGTTTCATTTACCTGTCCGAACGAGAGTTAATCGGAAGTTAAAGCCTCGTGTTAAGTAAATTTTTGCCGGACCCCCCTGGCCCCTTTTCGCAAGGGGCACGACCGGCATGCCTCCGAAAGATAAATATAGGCCGACGTCGCCCACTTGAGGGACGTTACCTGAGGAGAACCAGTCACTTTGTGCTATTTCGTGACTTAATCCTCTCGGGGTTAAAAAGAAAAACCGAATTCTGCACGGTTGACGTTTTCATTTAACTATCGAAAATTTCATACATCAAATCACACACCGCATCTTGTTCTATTCAGCTCTCCGCGATACGCTTATCGGCGGGACAAATTCGCCGGAGTAGAATAAATAAGCGAAGATCTTTATTTCGTGGCGCGTTGTTATATCAAAAGTACGCGAGACGCGCATACTTTAAAATAAGATTGATTTCATGGGAGCGTCCAGCTCTTTCCGATGCAAGCAAGACGTGCCGGGACTCAATGGACAAAATTCACACATCAGAAGCGCTTGTCGTTCGAGGTCGACACTGTTAGCCTTGAATTTCATGCCTGCGCACCGATGTTCTTACGTACACACCAGTTATATATCCCTATCTTGTTTAACTTTCCCTGTTTACACACCGCATCGCGGCGGGAGCGATGGACAAACGAACTGACGGACGGCAGTTCCCTTGAAATAACAATTCGCTGTGCGCGCGTCCGCTCGCCGCGTCCCGTTTTCACCGTCGGATCTTTCACGGAGAGCGCACCAGCCTCTGGGATTTACTCGCGCAAGCTTAGGTTACTCAGAGAAGCGAGGCACGATGCACGCGCGCGAATCGAATTATATATACACGGATAACACGGGCGTTGAGCCTACGAAGACGTTCGTCACATCCGTCTTTCACTGTATATTGTCGGTTTGAGATTCAGATTCTTTAATCCTCGTCCCGATTTCAGCAGACTTTTGCTTCTTTCGCCGTACGCACGAAATTATTTTCTAATGTAAAACTCGCTAAAAGTGGATGCACATCGAACTAAATCTCGAGCCGAACTTCTTGCGCAAGGTTTTGTTCAATAATGTGGATCCACCTTAATAATCTTCTCAAACCCTCCTTCCTCGGAAGTAGAACACCCTGGAGGTGTTACATATAAAGAAGAGGCTCGCGAAGGGATCGATTTGGTTTCCGAAGGATCAAAATCCCGCGGATCCAGAAGATCCACACACGTCTCGCACACACAATTCCCGTCCATATATCCTCTATACGTAAAGCTCGCGCAGAAGTAAATGGCTGTTTGTAGATCTCTCGAAGTCAGCGCGCGCGGCCGTACGTAGCCGAAAACTCGACGAGCTTCGAGTGGATTATCGGTAGAAAAGGAATTAACGAACGGGAGCAGCGAAAGAGGTACTTCCCTCGTCTAGTGCCCTCTTCGTGGCTTTTAGATAAGGTCTCTCACCCCCTACGCAAAACCGGCCGTGCCACAAAGCGTACGTAAAAACTCACGCAACGTAAGTGCAACGCGCGCGAGGGCGCGCTGCGCCGAGTATTACTTTCTTTCGCGACGTAATGCTCCTTAAGATGAATTTACACGGTTTAATGATGAGCCATTCTGAAAAAAAGAATCGTCTCGAGCAAGCAAATACCGCGCGTGACAGCACGATCTGTATATAGCTTCAGGATTAATTCAGAGTAAAATAAACATTCAGTATTCTATTTAAAAAAGGAAGTATAGAATAAAGCTTATCAATAATTAGAATTATATTTTAAATATATTTGTCATTTTAATCCTTTATAGTTTCGCCAACTGCTGTATTTTTATTTAATTATGATAGAACTATTGTTGAATCAATTTTATACGACACAGATTCATGGAAAATTATGCAAGTTAAAATCGAGGGAAGGTATTACTACTTTTTCGATCTTTAAATTCGATTTTCCCGAAACTAAAGCTTTGTATTTCAGAATTTTTCATCTTTGCATGTTTTTTTTTTAATATAAAAAATTGCATCATCGATAATCGAATGCGTAATTGTTTTATAAAGAATCTAACGACACACAAAGCAGCGCGGGCTGGAAAACAAAAATTGAATAACAGGAAAAAGTAGTCGTACACCACACACGCGGAACAACCACCGGTATTCTGGCCACGCTCGAGGCGACACCCGAGAGGGGTAAAAGGAATTTTCGAGGGCGGCCGATCCCGCTAATATTCAAAGAATTAGACAGACGGTGGCGGGTCCTCGAGACGCGGTCGGCTGGACGGACCCCTTAAAGTGCTTTCGTTGCATTCCCGGCACACGCAACTCCGATGTATAATGGGGGTTATATCGGGCTTCGGGAACGAGGTCGGGAGCGGGTACAACAGCCACTCGACGAGGTTACACGCGGTAACATATGCGCTCTACGGATCGGGACGATAAAAATCAGCTACTGCAAAACGACACGTAATGCTGAGTAGAATTTACACCGTATCGATGAAGGAGCCTGACACAATCTGACACAATTTCGGGATGTGAAATTGAGATTCAGAAGCCCAATATAGTTTCTACGAGATCACCGCAAGATCGTATAATTCAGCACAAGAGATTCTCAAACTTAATTTAGGAGGCACTATAAATTTTTGTTGAGTTTTTAACATTCAATTTAGCTTTCTGAAAATTAAGCTTCAGAGGAACAAGTGTATGTATGGTAAAATTATATTTCTCGATTAATTTCAAGCAAATCTAATTCATTTGATTTTTAATTTAACGTTTATTCGTTAAACAATATATTGAAAATGGGAAAACTGTAATAAATAATGATAATAGTCCCGACGTTTTTATAGAAAATATAATCGGAAAAATTAAATTAAATTTAATAGGAAATATAAATATAAATTGACCGAAGAATCCGCAGTTGAAAGAAAAATTCTTAGTTGATATAACAAAAGTACGTCGATGAATTTTATCGTCTAGCCCATTCAGGATAAAAAAGAAGAAAAGAAGGTAGCTTTTGAGTTTTCAGTAGGAACAGTCGCGTGCGATTAGGGTCGTTCGAGACTGCTTTTACGGCAATTGAGCTAAGCGATCGTGGAAGTTGTGCAGCCGTCTGGACGGAATCGAGATCGACATCTGCTTATGACAGAGGCGCGTTATAATCCGCGCTGTTCGCATTATGCGCGGTTCACAGAGGCGGCTTAATCGCATCCGCGTTTATCGTCCGAAACATATCTTACCGGCTGACTTAATTTTTTAACGGGCCTTGATGTCACGGAGCACATGTGTCAGATAATACATCGATATAAATATAAATTTAATAATATATGTGTAGTGTTTTATTTTATATATACTTTCAGATTTTAAATAACCAAAAAAAAGCGAAAATAAGTTAACTTGTTAATTAGAGAGAATATTAGAAGGGGAATAGATACTAACGATGATTTATTATTAAAAGGATTTATACTATTTACTAATCGTAAGAGATAAGTGGACAATCATTGTATCATTACATCTATTCATTTCTAACATTTTCGCTAAGAGAATATTAACTTTGTCACAGAAAATTATAAATGGTAAAATGGTTGAAGGGACATTCGTTGATTTTAGAACATGTTTAATATATTATTGCGTGATTAACAGATGTGAGACATATCTTTGATCAAGAGTTTGAATTTCTAAGCACCGATTACTGCTTTTTACGCGCCATTTCTCGCGAGGGACAAATAATTCTAATTTCACAAGATTGTTTTTGAGATCCGATCCTCACCCATACAATTCGCACAATAGAGTCGACACTCTCGCGGTGATTCTTCCGATAAAAATAATACGTAAAACTCGTATTATTTTCCTCCTCGGCATTTTGAGTATCCGCATAAAGCGAACGAAGCGTTAAAATCCCCTTGAAGAAATAACACAGTCCTCTAACCGTGGATTTACGGACTTAGAGCATCGGATAGGGAATATAGCTAGAGGCCGATTCAAAGTGCGTCTAACAAAGGCCTCGTGCCTACGTCTCTGAAAAAACATCCGAGGGCCTACCTGGCGATAGTCTCGCGTATACGAGATGTGTCGTCCGTTTTATTCCGACATAAAGAGCGACTCAGCGCGGTCGATTTTAGGCTTTGCTCGCAAAGAACTAAATTCGCAGAATGTCCCGTCGCACCAGCTCTTTCCACTTACACTGGTGTGTGTACAGATTCGCTTATACGAAATTCCTTGACTTATTTGTCATTCCTATTTTATGAATAATATAATATACTATATTTTTATATTACATTCTGAATGAATCTGATCTTTTTAATCAAAACTTCAATCTAATAACGTTATATCTGCTCTGAATATGGATTATTATTAATCTAACTTTCTTATCAAAAAGTTGACAAATTCTCTTTCTTTTCGATGAAATTTCCCAATTTGACAACGTTTCACGTAAAAAAAAAAATCATAGATCATAACGTTAATATCATTGCGTTCGAAAAATACCTAATTGTGCGTTTTACGTGTGTTTCGCAGGTGAAGATATGGTTTCAAAATCACCGATATAAATGCAAGAGGCAAGCGAAGGAAAAGGCCATGGCCGAGCAGAACGCCCAAAATCAGGTAATTACGCAAATTTCGAAGTCGTGTGTAAACCGCTTCGAAAGTGAAACGTACGTTGAATATAACATCACGAATTTCGCGAAGGCGCACCATTTCGATGACTTCTACTACGTCTAAGGAATTAATACTGTTTGTTTGTAGTAATCGTTAAGTGATGCACTACATATTGCATAGTTTATATAATCTTCAAATCTATTTATTGTCATGAAAATTGTATAGAATAAGTAATTGATTTCCTGGTCGAAAAAATTTAATTGTTGAAAAATAATGCGCTATGTATTGTTACAGATATCGAAAGTAATAAAGTATATTATATAATATCTAGTAAAAAGTGTTTGAGCTATTTTGGCTAGAGGAAGTCACACCGAATTTGTCATAATCGCGATCGATTACCGGTCGGATGTCAAACGTGTTATTTCATGCACTCGGCATCGAGATGCCATCGCGTCTTCCGGATTCGTTCCGAAAGCGATTTTAAAACAATGACAGTCCGCACTCGACGAAAATGTCGCCGTCACACACGTAGCGTGTCGGCCAATCGCGCGAAATGAAATGGCTTTAAATGAGAAATATCACGGAAGCCGCATAAATCCTCGCATCCGCATCATATTTCGTTTCGAGAGTGCCACTCGACCGCTCGAAGCGATTTTGCATTTATTTTGTTATGTCATTTGGGATTTCCGAGGGATATCGCGCCGCGGCGTCGTCGACAGAACGATAAAATTGCTCGCGTTGAGCACGTAATCACGCGCCCGTCGCGTTTCACGTGGCTCAAAAATATAGAGCGAGATTACAGAGTCGAGTAAAATAGCGAATTTGCGCGTCCGAATGAAATTCAATACCTATTCGCTATAATCCAAGTTAAAAATACGCGCGGGACGTCGAGTAATGTCGATCAGGATATAACCGTTCGTCGCACGTGGAGATAGAAGTGAAATACTTTAGTGTACGTCACTTCCATATTTCGGAAAAAAAAGCGAGGCTAATGAGGAATAATACGTACAGAACAATCTTAAATTAAGATATCAAAATTTAAACGCCAGATTTATCCATTAAATGAAATTTAAAATATACTAACATATTTAGTAAAAAATCTAATCGCACACAATATTTTATAACTTGTTTTTCGATCTCGATTGCTCCAATAAATAAGTTACGCGGCTAAGATAAAATTCATTTAGAATTAAATAAAACAAAAGATTTTATTATTTTTTCATTCTGAAGCTTAATTTACGGGGAACCTGCCGCATTCGATTGTTTCTTTACTCAAAAAACCATGGATATCTTAATATTTTTGTCAAGAAATTGTCTCTTATTATTATACTACGTATTAATTATATGTATGTGATAATAAATTCTTTTATAGCATTTTTTGATAATATTCCATACAATTAATTTCTAATATTACAAAGTTAATTTTGCCGTTAACTTCTCGTGAAAATAAACGCGGATTAAAAAAAATATATAATCCGCCTGCAGTAATCTGTTAACATCGTCGTTTAATCTTTCGAGCATCGTAATTTTCAGCACTAAGCCCTTCAGATTTTCAGAGCTTATCTATTGAAATAAGCGGTACGCATTCGGTACCTATACATGCACAAACATGCAGCAAAGAATACTCGGCTTGCATTGCTGTATTAAAATAATCGATACTTTACCGTCGGGTAGTAGTCGAGTACTTGAATACGCTTTGAAGTGTATCGCGAGCATTTCTAATAGCAACAGACGCGATCGCCGAGATATCGTAGCTAGCTGCTTCGAAACGTGCCGTGTCTCTCGGATCTTTTACCAGATACTCATATATGTATAACCCAATACGCCATTGCTTCCCGTGTCTTTCTTTCTTTCTCTCTCTCTCTCTCTCTCTCTCCCTCCCCTCCTGCCTTTCAAAGGATATTTATTCAAAAGAGACGTCAGAACGATCGTCGCGATACACGCGGATTCTTTTGAATATATTAGGATGTCACGTATGCGTTGTCACGAAAGCGACGGGGCGCGCGTTAACGGCGGCGGTTCGCTCGATTCCTCACGATTGCCACGCGACGGCAAGTATATGATTGCGCGTTTAAACGACACAATTCACGGAATGCAACATTTGCCAGTCTAAAATACAATCAAACGATCGAGAAAAAAGGGAAAAAAATCAATTAAATTCAGATTTCTATATCCTTACTTTTTGTCGTAAAATTTAGAAGATGCTTACGTGTAAAATAGCTTTTTCCGCGATTCAAACCTCATCCAAGGGATGTCATGGATCATTACGCGGGCGATCAAACGCTAATTTATTTAAGCAAGAAGAAAAAGTTGCCAAGTATAAAAGTTATGTTAGACAACTTGCAAAAGTTGGTGAAATGACGTGTCGAGGTAAAAGATTGCAATATATGCTTCTTCTATATGGATCTTTGTGCAAGGAATTAATATAGACTATCACATATAAAGACCTAAATCGTGAACGAGAGTAATTTCATCGGAACGGAGAGGAAAGATACAATTAAATCGGCGTAAGGGTTAGGCGTCGCGCGCACGTGCGCTTCACATTTTGCCGAAGTGAAACACGAGTCACACTTCGTTATCGCTTTATAGGCCGATGATATTTTCGCGAAATACGCGGACGCACAAGCGCGACGGCATAAGCGGATTTACGTAGCGTGCACTTTTGCACGGTACGTTTCGAGGGACGACGGACGTGCTTTATATAACGTCGCAACATTGAAATTCGATGAAAAATATACGCATAGTTTACGCGCGAGGACGAAAGCATCGCACACTTCGAAATGATGCGCGCAATTTTTTCCGCCCGCGCCGGTATTAGCGCGCGCGGCCCCGATGAAGCTCCTCGCGCGCTTATCGATTATTCGTGAAACCGTGCCTCCGTGGAGAAAAGGAATTTCGCCGCGTAGCACGCGGGAAAACCGCTGCCGCCGCACACTCGATGTAAATGCGACAAAATTTCACCGGCGCGACCGCGATCGTTCGATATTCGCGTAGCCGGACCGCTTTACCTGCAGGTGAAACAGAAGGATCCGGTAAATTTATTCGGTTAGAAAAACGATCTACGCTCTTGAGGAAAATTTAATTCGCCGAACAGAACAGGCTGATCTATCTTTAAAAATAATAGAACACGAGATGTTTGTCCTCTTTCGCGACTCGTGTAAAAGATTCTTGACATCGAGGCGAGAGAGGCACCAAAAGTATCCCTCTCTCAAATCCGATTTAAACGAGGCTCGAAACGATGCCCACCGCGGAAGAGATACGTCGATGGCTATCGGCGGCGACCGATCGAGATCAGAGGGAGGGGAGGGGGGGCTCATGGTCCTGCGAAGCACACAATGGACTCAGCGTTGCGTCGCGTTTGCCTCGTAAACAGCCGTATAGCATTAACGGTGGCTGAAAGTTATCTGACGGGCCCGATCTGCGAGGGCAAGCGATTCTTCCGCCCGACGAGCCGCGCCACCAGCCGCCCTATAATTTACTCGTTAGTTCGCCGTGCTTCCGTGGACACGTTTTCATTACCTTCACTCACTCTCTCTCTCTCTCTCTCTTTCTCTCTTCATCCCGACGCGATCTTCCACCCGTGTTGTTACCGCCAATAACACGATTGGCTATTTTATCTCGTTGTTGTGTCATTACTTCGGAGGAGGATCGATCGCAATTTTGGGGAACTACTGTTTCTCAGTTTCTTCGAAATAATCGCGAGAGCGATCTACTTATAATCCTTTATACTGTAAACTTTTCGTTTGCAAAATCGTCCTGATTAATTTTCCAAACAGAAAATACAAGTGCCCGCGTTTCCAATGCATAATTTTTATAACGTTCGTTCTAAAAATTTCTCAATTTACGTACGCAGTATACCTCGTTGCGTCAATTACATCAACGCAGAGATAGATACATGAACTTTTCAGAAACCAAACTCCGCTTTTTATAATTTTTTAAAAATGTTAGTATACCGAGTGGTTAGTAGTTACATATCTACTTCATCATTTTTTTATTCTTTTATTTTATGATGTTGACTAGTTTGGTTTATGAGAAACTCTCTCCGTTTGATATGTGAAAAATTAGATAGGGGATAAAAAATAAATTACAAACTACACAGTATTAAATTAATATACATCAATAATATACATTTTTAGATTTTTAAATCAACAGTTAAAATATTGAAATGTGTAGATACGATTCGTCTGACTTGACATTGTTTTTAGAACACAGATCTATTGTTGAGGGATATAGAATACTATATGTAATGCAGCTAGGATACAGTTTGATCGTCGCACACGAAGGGAAGAAGTCGTCCCTCTGTCGCTCGTCGAAGACGATGTCGGCGAAGGGACGCGACTTCTCCGACGCGCCGGTGTAGCCTACGTTCAGATTTTTCCCCCCTTTTTTTCATTTTATTCCATTTCCCCCTTCGTGGAGGTAAAAAAAATTCAAGTATCGGCGTGAGCGAGCGAACGGGCGAGAGGGGAGAAGAGAAGGGCGAAGAGGAAAAAACGCGAGAGAGCGAAGGAGAATGCAGGACTGAAAGGGGAAGAAGAGAGGGAGAGAGAAAGAGAGAGACGGAAGGATGAAAGCGACCGAGAGAAAAACAAGGAAAGTAGAAAGGAAAGAGAGAGAGAGGGTGAGAGATTCTGCAGGGGAGCACCGAAACAGGCTCTCGAGGACCGGTCGCCATCTTGCCGTGAGTACAGTCACGCGCAATACCTGGGCGCAAATCGAGATTACCTGCTGCTTATAGCTTTCAGTTTTATAACGCAGCTTCTCGTTATCTGCGAGCTGTAAATTTCCGTTCTCGAGGAGCAGGAAAAATTCCGCGGCAAAATTCCGTCCGACGGCGCGATTTTCGCGTAGAGAGACAGAAAACTCGAACATCGATATCCTTTCTCGCAGGATTAACGTTAGAAAGGCTAGAAATATCAGAATCAATCGTTTCACTCGCACGTTTCCGACGACGTGCGGATGTAAATGTGTCGCGAGGGAGGCAGGCGATGTAATTAACCAGAAAGCCACCCCGCAGTGCGCGACAGCGCCCGCCTTTTCCTTCCCGACGGCGGCGGCGGTCTCTCGGCGAACAAAGGAGAGACATTAAAAGATTTCCGTCGGGACCTCTCGTTTCCGCGAGAAATGGAATTCAATGAGTCTCGCAAACGCGCCGCTTACTTTTTAAATCTAATAACGATCGTTACGTCATCGCGCGCGCAATTGCATTACGCATCGCCCGCCCACCTCTCGTGCAGCATTCGAGACGCGACGGAGGCTATAGTTCCACTCTGTTTGCTAATGATTTGTTAATCATAAGGCACGATAAATAATGTGTCTACTAAACACGAATTGAAATTAATATCGAAAGTGTACACCGACCCTGGATAGCTATGATCTCATGCGATTTTCACGCGAGATGAATCGAAGCTGGATTTTCCGTTTACCTTCGTGCGTCTCTGTTATCTCAAAATTATTATGAATCAATTATATCGCGAAGGATAAATGAGGGATAAGTGAGGAAACGGATTATCTATCAAACGGTATGAATACAAAAAATTAGATGTATACGAGATACGAATGTATATATAGAAAATCGATCTCTCGTCGTGCTGCATCGGACTGCGTCAGAATCTCAGCGAGCACAAACCCGGGGCACAGCCTGGCCTTCGCGTAAAGGTATACTACTCGGCTACCCAACAACGCAGGCATTTTCGCCGGAAATCGTTTAACGCGCGTTAAAGTGGCTAAAGTGGCGTGACGCGTGACGCGCGCGCGGACCGTCATGCGTTTAGCGTAATCGTCACTTTGTCAGCTTGAAGTGCACGGCATGCCTGCACTTATGCCCTCGCAAACGGCAACGCGAAACGTAAGTTCGTACCGGCCACTCGAATCAAATCGGTCGTATACCTCCCGGGCACTCGACACTGGCCGGATTTGCATAAAAGTATCTGCACTCGCGCGACAAAAAAAATTCATTGCCCGCATAAACCTTTTCGCCGCGTTCCATCGGTCGGTTTAATATTTTTGTCTCTCCTCTCTCTCTCTCTCTCCTTCCCCCTTTTTCTCCACACATATTCATCGCAGCGATTTTTGGGACTGCGCTCAAATAAACATAGAAACATCAAATTCAATAAATATATCAATTTCTGGAACTTTTTTCTGTTATAAAAAAAGAACAAGAGATTAAATTATCTGTATTTTTTATTTAGCGCGTTGTCTATTTGGCAACGGAAAAAAAGTCGGGATTATTATTAAATTTCTAAAAGATTGCGTTCGATCTGACCGCAGTTGTAGAAGCGAATGATATAATTGGGATAATTGGATAAAATTGAAATTCGAAAAATTCACGCAGATGACACTGATTACCGAGAAATCACGAAACGTCATGAGGCGAGTGAAGGACGTTATTTTTCAGCGCGATCGTATTATTAAAGTCTCACTGGCGAAGAGATCGAAGAGGAATGTCGTGTACCGAATGTTGATACAGCTGAGTGGTCGTTCTGGCAGGTATTCGGTCTGCTTGCTCCGGCTTCTGTTTGGTATGCCGTGAGGTTCGTGCGGGGTTGACGTACAGAACAGGGCTGTCTCTAGATCCGCCCACGGATCTCTCTCTCTCTTGTGCGAATAGAAAATGTGATCTCCCTCGGAATTAACGGACGCGGTCTTGAATTTTCAGTCGACAGAAGAATTTCAAACTGTTCCGCGCACAGTTGTAAAATTTTTCTCATTCGAAGCAGGAAAGTGTAAATCGATAGGGAAAAGATTAATTAGAGTCTTAACAAGAAAGGTTATTGATTCATCTAAAAATTAATAATTATTTTGTTAACTAACTTTATTAATAACTGTCTTGTCAAGCCTAATCAATAATCTTTTTACTAAATTAATAAATATTAAGGGAATACAAGAAAGATTGTTCTCCGAATTGAAATATAAATTTGAAATTTTCTACATAAAGAAACTGTGATTCACTGAATATTCCGTATATTATTATATGATTATCGCGCATTTCGTGCATAGTGATTATTTTCAAAGAGACGAAAAAGTTTATACGCGTAATAATAAATATATTATTACATACATATCCTATATTTCCCATTTGTAGTAAAAATTTCTTTCGGGAGGATTTTACGGTACGGGACGACGCGGGCCGAGTCCACGGTAGCCGGTACTGTTTATTCCTAACGAGAGAGAGTCCATCGTATATACGCACCCGTCTAGTCCGTGAATGCTGATCACGGGATATCGTGCGGGTTAAGTGTCTTACCGGGGGCCTACCGCGCTGCGCATGTTTGCTCGGAACACAGGAGCGCTTAGCTCAAGTCCCTGCCAGCCCACGTATCCCGGAGCGTTTGTTCACGTAGCGCCCGTCGAGCTGGGAAATTGCACGGTACATGTGTGCGTACGCTCAAAGTGCGTACACTTGTACTAAGAAACTTTGGCAAACGGTGGCGTATTTCGATAATCCACGAGAAACGATCGGTAGCCGGCTCGCGGCACGAGAGAACACACACGCGGGATCCGTTTAACAAGACCGCTAACCGAATAGTTGTTAAATGTCCGTTTCGAGCCAATGGATCTGTAGAATTTGTGGATTCTATTTACTTCAAATTGAAGTGAAGTAGGTATGCTTTGTCGAGCTCACCGATACGACGCGCAGCAGCGGAGTTGTTTATAATAATTTGGAAAATAGAAGCAGATATATCCAAATTGGAGCAATGTTCGAGCAATGTAATTAATAATTCTCAAGAAATTTACGATAAATATTCTACTCGTGTCTTAAATAAATATTTAACAAGATATTTATATATATTACTTCCGAGAAAAGTTTTTTTTACCTAAACTTTTATCCAGTGCAAGAAACAAAATTTTACTTCTCTATAAATTATTAATTTTAATTTTATTCCTCTAAATAATTCTCGTGTGATTCTAAATTTTAAACAAATGAAGAACAGATCATCTCTAGTTGCTACCAGCTGACCCAGCTCCCAGGCCTTCGCCCCCTCTCGGCTCTTCCGCGTCTTTCTCCGCTTGCACTTGCACAACATTCGCGAAAGTAAGATTAATTACGCGGTCGCGTATTGATTATACCGGGACACGACAATCGCGCGACGTTTTTCACGGCACTATACCGATATTGTTAACCGTACACGACGCCACGCTTCGTCACATCCCGACGGAAAGGAATACGATCGCACGAAGCTACCGATATTTATTCCACCGACATTCAGCGACGCATCACCGAAACGCGACCAACGCGATCCTAATGGCAGTAGCGGCGGAGGAGAGTGAAGGAATTCGCGAAAATCGCGCGGTCAACTTATCACGCGTTTACCCATCTCACCGCGACGCTACACCTGTTGCTCATAGCTGCACTTCCGTGCACTTTCCGTGCCTTGCACGTTGAAATAATAAATAACATGCGTGCTGTAATTGCGTCTCGGGACGCAATTAGTATCTCGTGCCGTGTCACAAACAAGTAGACGTATGAGTTAAGACAAACATCTGCGCGATCGAACATTCGCAATGATCGAAAGCGATTGTCATCTCGTCGATTGTCGTCGCGCGAGAGCTTCCGATCCGATATATTTCCCGAAATGCGCGTTATATCAAATCGCCGATGTACAAATGCCAAATCCACGCTACGCGGTTCATATAAACAAATAAAATATAAGGTCAGACTACGATCATTCTTGCGCAAATCGAACGGATCGCGACGTTGCTCGGCTCGATCTGTTTCCGCGTTTCCGTGATGTTCCGTAAAAAGAAAGGGGCAACTTTAATTTGATACCGCGCGATACGACGCGGGTCAAATTACTGCTGATTAATCCACTTGAAAAGATGCTATTAATAAAAAAACAAAAAAAAAACAAATGTGTTCATATTACATGAACGATAAATTTCGGTCACATGCCGACCAAAGTTCAAAATCACATGTAATATTTAAGAATATTCCAGTAAAATACTTCTTAAAAGTTCGTGCCAATTAACCTACCTCAATGTTTTTTCCTGAATTTGAAAATAGGCATTACATTTAACAGTTGTGATTAATAAAGCATTGCTTAAATTCTAAGAAAATAAGTTACGATCATAAAGCCTTTTTTTCTAAAATTGATGATTATTCTGAAAGCTTGATGGAAAATCAGAGAAAATAACTAAATTTTTAATTAACTATCTAAATTAGTAAAAAAGGTGATTAAATGTAAAGATGATGTTTTGATAAAAAATGTATCTAATATTTCAAAATTAGATTTAAACATTTTATATTATTTTTCACTTTATTATAAAATAACGAGTGAAAGAAAAATGTGTTGAATTGTAATGCATAAGTTTGATTTTGTTATAATAGACATTTAACGATTTCCTCTCGAACTTTTGGTCGGCAGAGTAAATATCACGAAATTACGCTTATCATAAACGTGTCTGCTGTTATGAATCGTTCTCGAACACGATACATACACTCTTCGACATTAAAAGACACAAGCAAATTAAATGTATAAATGGAATATGTAAATAATATGGTATATATCTTTTTTTTCGCAATTTGCGTCCGCTGTGCACGTCGCATCAAGAAGCAATGATCCGTCTGTTGCAGAGTGCGAGCTCGCCGCGGCGGGTGGCGGTGCCGGTGCTGGTGAAGGACGGGAAGCCATGCGGGAGCGGCGGCGGCGGCGGGAACGAGGGTAGCCGCGGCGGGCCCAGCGCGGCCCTGGCGAGCCCGGCGCCGCACATGACGGCGGCCTCGAGTCCCCACGGCACCCATCACGCGGCGACCTCCTCGGTCACCCATCACTCGGTCGTCGCCGGCGTCAGCCACGTGATGAGCTCGAGCCAGAGCCTGCAGCACTGCTCGTACACGCGGTCCGGCGCGCAGCAGGGCATGCAGCAGCAGCAGCAGCCGCAGTGCGGCGCGTATCTACCGCTGCAGGGCCGAGCCTGGTAGTGCGCGCCATCCGCGGCGGGGGCCGCGGCCTACGCCAATCCCTCCGTCACAGGCCCATGGGCCCTCGCCGCGGATCCAACTGCCTGGTACGCCATACCCGACGACAGTCCTTAAGGGGGAGGGAAACGGGAGATACACATATATTATGCGGATCTAGTCGTCGAGAGTCGAATCGAAGAATCGTGCGCGGCGTGCCAAAAGAAGAAGAAAAAAAATAGAACGGAGACGCGTTGCCGGAACGCGGACACGAGGCGGCACGGCTCGGGATGAACCTGGAGCCTCCTCTCGTTCTCCGCCGCTTGCGGTTGCTCGCGGCCGATCCGTCGCGCGGATCGTTACCGAGACCGCGCGAGCGAGACCCGTTCACTCTTTCTCTTTGCGTGTGTCTGCTTTAGGGAAAAACGCCCGCGTGCGCCGTGCCCACAATGTATGGCTACCAAAAAGGACAGTCCCTTCTCGATCTTTCCCTTCGTGTACGTATGTAAGCGTACCCGTTCACCGGTAACAGGCTGGCCGAAACTGGAAACACGACATACGTTACGGCCAATTAATCGACGGGTATATGCTCGGTGATCGTAGGGACTATTAGTGTGATAATTAGCGACCGCCTATGGTCAGTGAGTATGCGCTCGCGGTTGAAAATGGGCCAACCGATGGTGATATTACGATGAGAACACTCGAATTGGGAATCATCGTGCATCGCTATAGTAACCGCCAACCGTGATTTTACGTCTGTCATCGCGCGAATCGATCGCGAGTCGTTCGGTCGGATCGAACGAAGCCGCACTCTCTCGGTTTCATGCAGCGAACCATTTTACGGTGAAATCCGCGGCGGGGTTGCATCGCGCGGAAGAGTCGCGCGTTGCAGATCTTTCTGCGGATCAACACGGGAGGCGTGTTTCACTTCACCCGAATCACGATCAGCAAACAGTGCTCGCGACGCGATCCATATCGACCGAAGACGAATCCGAAAAATCGGAGGAAGACACGTTTGTTTCTTCTCGAGGAAGAATCGCCTGCGAATCCGAGAATCTCAGAAACGCGTTTTAATCCCACTTTGCCCTTCACACGCCCGTAGATCATCGTATTTTAAAGCCTGCGACAGCAAGATGGCACATTTTCCGAACGACGTTCTCCAATGGTTTCATTGGTTTCTATCAATGTAGATTAACTTTGATCACGATTTAATTTACTCTTTATCTTTTTCTGATGTTCTAAAATTAAAAAAAGATAAAGAGTAGATTAAACCGAGATCGAAGTTACTCTACATCGACTGCAGAAATGGACATTGGACACGCTAGGGTTCCTCGTTCAATGAATTAATAAACGAAGCGCGAGTTGAGAGAACATTGGAAAAAGGAAAAAATGATGATTCTAACGACCCGTTAGAGCCAGATTGGAGAGGTAAACAGTGGCGTTCAACGTTCAAGAAATGCGTATACGATCGAACAGTCGGCGCGTGACTAGATCTGTTCTGTTTAACTCCGTTACGTTTTTGCGTTCAAAATGAAATTAATAAATATATATATATATATATATATATATATATATATATGTGTTCAAGCAAGAAAAAGGAGTAAAGTGTATAGAAAGAAGATACAAAAACCGCAGTTAAAGAGAACAGATTGCAACCGTTAAATTGAATCGCAAGTGGTCAGGCGAAAAAAGATCATGCATGTAGCGAAATGGATAGTTTCAGAATTATAAGAGCTAGGAGATGTTTAAAGAAATATGCAGAAATATTGCTGCTATTGCAGCGATAGTCGCATTCTCGACTGATTTGATTCGTCGATTTTTTCCGCCAAAAATTTGTTCGACTTAGTTATATGTATTATTTTTTTAAAAGGCTACTTTAATGTTCGATATTAAGAGCATCTTGAAACCGAACTTCAGCGTTTGAATACAGAATTTTTTAGAACAGAAAGTTGTTATGAATTTATACGATCTCTTCGCGTAAGAGTAATCGACTTTTATTAGCGTCAGCGCCGTCGTTAAAATACACGCCTATTTTTCGTAGGACGTATGCGAAAAAAAAAATGTGTTTCGACCAGGGCGGGGAGGGAAAAAGTGTAGTTTTTTGCAGATCGGGGGAGGCTCGTGTATCCGAATTTCGGTGATTTGCGGAGGTTCGCTCGCGCTCGCCTGCGCGGGAAATAAACGACATTGTTGTAAAGCGTCGCGGCGCCGGAAACAAAACACGGACCGCGCCCGGGCTAAAATCGAGCACACGCGCGCAAACGGGGCGAAACGGAAACGGATTGTTCGCTCGCGAAATTATCGCTGGGCCCCCGCCCGCTCCGCCCCGGCCGGGTGCGCGTCCACTCGATGGATTGGAAACCCGTCGATTCGAATTACGAAATAGTACACCGCGTCGCGTGATTGTGACTCGATTTCACCGACAGCGCGACATCCGAGACACGCTCGCGAGCGACATTGTCGCTCGGAAAGTCGCTTCCAGACAATGCGCCGCGTTTGTCAAAACGTTCGACGCGAATTTCCCTGCGCCACGCCGCGCCGCGCCGCGCGTATTTACGCGACAGATTTTGCTGCATTGTTCGCGCGCAAATACAATATATATATATATATATATATACAGACATACATATGTATGTATACATATGCGTATATATACATGTATATATACATACATATATATATGTACATCGCTACGTCGACGTGTATTATTTCGTCTGCGTGATATACAAATATGTAATATTTTTATCAGTTGTGCCAGAGCCTCGCCAATCTGCACGCTTGCGTACGGGTAACGATTTTACTTTTCGTCGAATTCGAGCAAAATTTTGTTACACACTCGCGCAACAGATACCATAAGTTAATCCTTTATAGCGCCAAATGACTTAGAAAGTTACCGTAAACCCGTATCTTTGAAGTCTCAATAATTTAATCAACACACTTCTATTACGGATTGTGTAATTTTTTTTCGAAAGAAATCCGTTTTATAGAGGGTTAAACGAGTGGTAATATCTTTTTCCCATTTAAGACTCACGAATGTCGTGACGACATTCATCGAGACGACTTTACCTCTGGGGATCAGTAACGCGATTTTAATCGCGAAAGAAAGAGAGAAAGAGAACTTTCTCTCTCTCTCTTTCTCTCTCTCTCTGGAAGTTTTTCTTTTCTGCGAAAAAGAAAGCGAAGTGGGACGGCGAAAGATTTTGCGTGCGGGGACGCGGGGGACGGATCGAAGCGTGTTTTCGAAATTCGACGCGCGTTCCGCGCGCGTTTCGCGTCGCGAGTGTGAGGGGATCTTAGAAACATGTTTACGATTTCGCACGTTCAATTGTAAATGACACTTATATTGTAAATACACGTTTGTTATAAGCGACGTTGTGCGGTGCGATGAGAGAGAGGACGGAAGTGTGTCGCGCGCATGTGTCGACAACGAATTTCTAAATCGAGCGACGATTCATTATACATAAACGATTTAGAGGATGAACCATTATCGAGCATTACAGTATAAACGATTATGCAAAGCAACAAAAAAAAAGTATAGGATTGACGATAGTGAGTAGTGTGTCGTGGTGAGAAAATCAAGCTAGAGATTATTATAAAGTTTTGTAAATAATAAGAGAGATATTAATAAAACGATACTTATTCAAACACCAACGAATCTCGTTCTTGACAATTTGTAATATATAATATTAAGTGCTGTCTGCAAATTATTTATTTACACAATAATTGCAAAATTTCTCCTTACTCTTCACACTCTCTTGCTACCCTTTGTTGTGATCCCTCTTCAGAATAATGGATTGTAATTAAATTATAAACGAATCTGTTTATTCAATGTTTTCTAGCACGAAACAGAAATTCAGGATATTTTATATTATAACTGGATCTATATACGTGTTCGGAATAATTTTCCAACGGTATCGCTCCAAATTTGCTTATCAAAAATCATATCTGTTGATCGATCTGTTATCGTGCCGTTAAAAAAATGCATTAGCCATGACGCTTAGACGCCCCGGGAGCTGCATTAGTCCTTCTCGAGTCAGCTCTGGTTCCCTCACGAGCGCTCTCACCTGGGCGAGAGAGGAGTGCCATTCACCAATCAAAATACACGAGCCCTCGTCGAGCGCTAAGAATGTTTCATTACATCTCTCGCGACTTTCGATCACTTCGCCTTGACAACGCGCCTTTCGGCGTCGGCCGGATAGACGCCATGGTAACACCCCTTGCGCCGCGAGGGGCGAATCCCCCTCGCACCCGAGAGGAGCACGGCGCGCTTCGCGCGCGCTCTGCCCCGGTAACGTCCTAACCCCCTCGAAGCGCGACCGTGTACCTACAATTATTAAGGTAAGCCGATCTCCTCGACGAATAGGTGAAGGTTTAATGCCGGGCGCAGGTACAGCGAGCGACGAGAGAGGAGCGGAGCGCGCGGGGCCGCCGACGACGAGCCAAAGTCAGCCGGTCGTTATTGGATATTTTCCAAGGGGGAGAGCAAGCGGAAAGAGAGAGGCAAGACTTAACCCTCCCAGGACTAAGCGGGAGCTGGCGATTTATTAAATGCACCGTGACTAATTGCTCCGCGCTGCGGAGGGACGCGGAGGCGGGGGAGGCGGCGGGGATGACGCTCGGCATCGCGGATACGCGTGAGCGCACGGAACGCGACGACGGAGTAACGCCGGCGCGCTTAGAGCGCAAATTACACCCGGGTCAGGTCAAGAGGATGGGGGAGAGAGAGAACAGGGAGACCCCCCCGAGAGAGCGCGGAATTATTGTTGCGACGATTATTATTAACTCAAACGGTCGGGCGCGTTGCGTGTGGAACGGAACGGTCGGACAAATTTATGCGAGAGCAACGTACAGCGACATGAGAAATTAACGAAACTAACGAGCGAGGAGTAAAATTCACCTTGAAACGCGCCACCGAGCCTGCCGCTGGCGATCAAGGACCGCATTGCACGTGGAAGAAAAACACAAACACGGAAATAATATTCTCGCGCGTTACCACGTCAGCACGCGTGCGCGCGCGCGTGTGT